TCTCCCAGCACAGCGGGTGCTCTGAGCCTCGTCGCCCCCCACCCAGGTCTCTGCTCCCCTCCTGCCTGAGCCTGGAGACTGACACCCCCACACCCAGGGGACCCCCTGCTGTGTGGTCCTCCCTGCCCACTTCCCAAGGAGGTAACAACCACCCTTCAGCATCTCCGGAGCTGCGGGCGCAGCTTCAGGGAAGGACTCACAGCATCACAGAATCCCAGGGGTTGGAAGGGACCTGGGAAGATCCCCCAGCCCAACCCCCCTGCCAGAGCAGGGGCACCCAGAGCACATCACACAGGAACGTGGCCAGGGGGGTTGGAATGTCTCCAGAGAAGGAGACTCCACAGCCTCTCTGGGCAGCCTGGCCCAGGGCTCTGGCACTCTCACAGCAAAGAAGTTCTTCCTGAGATTCACATGAAACCTTCTTGTGCTCCAGTTTGCACCCATTGCCCCTTGGCATGGGAAAACCCAGGGCCCATCCCTTTGGGATCCAACAGGAGATCCCAGCCCACCACACAAAGCTACCCACCCCCAGCAGTGCCCCAGCCCCGGCTCTCACCGGGCAGGGGGCTCTGGGCCACCACGAAGCTGCGGAGGGTGATGTCGGCGGCGCCGCCCGACTCCAGCGGGATGGGGTGGGTGTGGAAGTGGCGCAGCATGTCCAGGATGGTCTGGAACCAGAGGTGCTGCACGTGGCACTGCCCGCTCTCGTTCAGCGACAGGCGGAGGTGCTGCAGGGGCAGGGACAGCGGGTCAGGCTGGGGGATGTGAGGGTTAAGACTTGCCCTGGCCCTCAGCAGAAGGAGCCACTTCCATGGGACCAGGGAGGTTTGCTCCTAACAACACAGGGCTTCTATTCTCCCCTGCCTGGGCAGGAGGGGTCTCCAGGGTGTTCCCTGCAAAACCCCACTCACTGCAGCCCCAGAAGTTTGTCCCGTCCTGGTGATGATCACCCTGCAGAAGCAGCCAGAGAAAGGTGGCTGGGGGGGCTGCAGCTGCAATCCTGGTGACACAAACGGTGTGGGGAAGCCCCCCATGCCACCTGAACTACTTCTTGCAGGATCAGTGTCAAAATTGGGCAGTTATGTCTCAATTCCTCCACAGTGTGTGCCCTCTGGCACAAGAGGAACCCAGCAGAAACTACCCGTGGGTCGTAGGGCTCCTGGGGGACGAAGGCAGGTGGTCCCAATGGCTGCCCTGCTGGGGTGCAGCTCCTGCAGAGTTGCCACGTTTGGGGTAACCCCACAGCAACCACCGGCTCGCAGAGCCCCAGCAGGGTGGCACTAATCTTCAGGGAGGAGCAGGGGACACTCACCTTTGCTTTTCCCTGGAAGTTGAAGGTCAGCACGTACTCCCCCGGCCGCGTCTCGCTCTGCCGGATGACAAACAGCCCGTGGCTCCGGGCACCCCCAAAAAGCACCAGCTGAGCTGCCTTGATCCGTGAGAGAGTCCCATGGAACCAGGGGAAGTTGGAGAGGTTGATCTCTGCCTCTGCCTCGCTGTCCTCCCCTGGCCACGGGGACAGCAGGTTTTTAGGGAGCACCCAGACATCTCCCCACCCCTTCCTCCGTTCCATGCACCCCCAGAAGTGAGGTGCTGGGGACACAGCCTGCACCCCAGTACCTGTCAGATGCCCACCGGTGGTGGGGGAGGACTCCAGTGTCTGCAGGAAGCTTTCCAGTGGGATGTGGGTGAGGAGCTCCCCCAGGGAGTCCCTGCCCCTGCTGTGGGGCGTGGGGACAGCAGTGGCCGTGGTGGCGGCGTGAGCGCCGGGCAGAGGACATCTGTCTGGTGGCCTGGGCACATCTGGAAGGGAATTTGCAGAAGGATGGGCTCATGGCTTGGCATCACCAGACAAGGTTGGGGGTCGTCCTGCTCTGAAAGCACCCATGTTGGAGCACTCCTGCCTCTTGGAGATATCTCAGGGTTAGGTTATGGCCCTGGCACAGCTCGGCGAGCTCCCTTTCCACCTGTACTGGGTTTCCCTCCCCTGGCCCAACCAGGACAGGGGGCATGGATGCCCTTAATCAGGCACGGCAACAAGCTGGGGCTGTGCAGGAGGAAACTGTGAAGACCCAGAGACCCCAGTGCCTGCAGACAGGTGCTTGATTTTCTGCAGGAGTCAGGAGGTATGGGAGGAACATCAGGGCAGGGTGTGGACAAGCAGAAGGAAACAAAAGGCAACGGGCAGAGGAGGATCCATCCACATATACACCTGCTCCACGCTTCTTCACTTTATCTCTGGTGGGATTTCCTGCCCCTCCAAACCAGAGCTGGCACCTGGAGATGCCCACCCTCCCCAGCAGGTGTTTTTTTTCCCAGATAAACGTCCTCACCATCAGCCAGGAACTCGCAGCTGCAGGAGGACGCGGTGCCGGGCAGGCAGGCTCCCTGCGCGCAGGACGCCAGCTCGATGTCGTCCCCGCTGTCCCTGGGGGAAGAGCACAGAGCAAATGGTCACGTGCTGGTCACCACCCTGCAGAGACACGCTCCAAGTGTCACCTCTGCACGGGGACTCGACCCAACAAAATTCCAGCTGTGATTGGAGCACATCCCAAGGCTTCCTCCTGGAGGAACAGAAGCGCCTGCAGGGTCAGGAGGCAGAGCAGCTGGAGAACAATATGGCTTTTTAGGGGTGAGAAACCAGCACAGAGGGATGAAAGCCCCGAAAGCCCTCACCACCTGGGTCACACTGAGGTGCTTTATGCAGCCTTGTTGGTTTGGGTGGTGACCAACTTTGCTTTGCATATGCACACACACATGCTCCCACCACTAACTTCACAGAATCACAGAATGGCTTGGATTGGAAAGGACCTTAAAGATCATCCAGATCCAACCCCCTGCACGGGCAGGGACACCTCCCACCAGCCCAGGCTGCTCCAAGCCCCATCCAACCTGCCCTTCAACACTTCCAGGGATACAGTTTCCACAACTTCCCTAGGCAACCTGTTCCTGCGTCTCACCCCCCCCCACAGTGAAGAATTTCTTCCTAATCCTCCAATGTACATCTACCCTCTTTCAGTCTGAACTTCCACCCCAGGGAGGAAACTCTGCAACACAATTACCAGCTGACAGGACTCACACCCCAAAAAACCCCCAAGCCAGGAGGTCCAGAGCCAGACAAGGAATGGGGATGGAACAACAGGGGCCCCACAGCAGTGCAGCCCCCACGGGGACCATCCCTGCTGCGCGATCCCTGCCCGTGCACCTTGGCACCCTTACACAATCCCACTTGCTCCACAGCCTATTTTTATTTCATTTTTGCCTATTTTTAGTGCATTTGAGCCTATTTTTGGGCCCAGCTGCTGGCACAAGCCCGGCGCTGCCGGCGGCTTCTCTTGCTTCATGGCGGCCACGTGGGCAAAGGCTGCGTTCGTGGTAACAACTCACCAGGGAGCTGCTGAATTATTTATTGGCCAGTAAGTGAATCAGCCACTGGGAATCATTCAGCTGCAGCCCGTTAAAAACAAGAAGGGAGGAAGGAAAACCAAAA